GCAGCCAAGAGAGTGTGAGGATCCCATTGGTGAGCATATGAGTGATGGTGAAGGAGTTGAGAATGAAGAGAGTGTTGATTTTGAAAATCCTAACCCTCTTTCCCATCTTGATGAGTCTCAAGTGCATGATTGTGATCCTTTTATCCATGAGTATTTGGATTCATTTGAGGTTATGTCTAATGTGTTTATTGAGTATCAAATGAAAACCCATAGCCTTTTGAGTGAGTTCATTAAGAATGCTTCATGGGAGAGAGATGATTTTGAAATTAATTTGCATCCATTCATGCATGGCTTTGAGATTTTAGGCTTTAAGGAAAATGAGGGAGTTGTTGTTCATGATTGTAGTGAAGGGGATTAATTAGTTCCTCTTGGAAGTTGGATGTTTGAGGGAGATCATGATCATGAGTGTTCTTCTTTTGAGGATTCTATGATTGATTTTCATGCTCAAATTGGTGATTTGAGGGATGGTGGTGAAGAAGAGACCATTTGTGAGACCATTGCTCCTATCCCCTTCTCTCATGTCCCTTTTTCTAGGAATTTCAACCATATCCCCTACACTCCTATATCCCTTCCTTCCTTTGTTAATGAGCCTATTGGGGAACCCCTTGCCTATGAAGATTTTCATGTCCCTCATTCGTCTTCTATTGAGGAAAAGGGTGATTTTGCCACCCAAAAAGATTTTTGTGAAGAGAGTTTGCCTTTCTATTCTTCTTCTTATTTTCTTGAATTTTCTTTTGATTCTTCTTCTTCTTGGCAACTCCCTCTTCACCTTCTTTTGCGTGCACTAATCTTGGTGCATGCCCTTCTTATATCATTTGCTTACTTGTTATCTTATGAGATGTGTAGTAGTGCATTTGACAAGCTCTTGTGATCGTTGCAATATTATTTACTAGAGCGGTCAAGCTTGGACCTTAAGCAAGCCTTTCTCGGGAAGTAACCCGTGTTTTATTGCTTTCATTTTCTTTTATTTTTAGAATAGATTTTCTCTCATGGAAATTTTTGTGTGCCTTTTTCTAGGTACATAACTTGATATACTTTGGTGCATTGGTTTTGATCAAGAATCAAGGAAGTTTGGCACCACAATTGCTAGCATATGGAAAACAAGATTCAATTCTTGAGAAGAGTGGCTTTGAAAATTTTAATTGGGTCATTTGCGGGTATATACACCCACCTAAAATCCGGTAATATCTTTCCTTGCTCTTTCTCCATTAGTTGATACCTAAAGTGGCTTTGAAACAGGAGATATGTTGGGTTGTTGGATTGATCTCCTTGTTTTCCCCTCCCATGGATTATTTGATTTATGTTTGAGCATGTTGTCTCATTCAAGCTTGGGGGAGGGTATTCTATCATATTTGTTAGATTTTGATTCATATATATTCCATGCACATTTGTATATGCTTTTCCATTTTCTATGTCTTGAAAATCACAAAAAGTTTTTTGTTTCTATCAAGGCAAATTTGCAATGTATTTTCTTTTGTTCTTGCTTTGGACATAATACTTTTGGACTTGTATTCTTGAATGTCTTTCTTCCTAAATTTTAGAGGTGTGCACGGTTTGAGAATGTGTTAGGTTGACTCTAGGATATGGTATGCTAAAGTAGTTGGCTAAGAACTTTGGGACCATGAAGCTCTAGTTCACTTGCTTGTGGTAAGATGGAGTTGCTCTCTATAGTGGATATGAAATCAAGAGTTAGTTATTGCTATCCCTAGTGATGTATAATTGTTCTAGCCTTCATCATACTTTGTTGAGCGGCATATTTGGATCCTTGGCTATTGCATTCTCATATCTAGAACTTGACTTTTAGCTCCCAAGATCGCGACTGAGCCACTTTAGGGGATGACAAAGACATTTCTCTTTTTATAGGATTAATTTTCAATTTTGGATTTGGTTTGCAATTGCCCCTATTACTAGCCCATTTGAGCCAGATACATTCTTTTATCTAACCTTAATACAAGCCTTCCAGCCTTAGTTTCACTTTAAATCCTACCTTTAGTTTGTGAAGTAATTTTGTTTTGGAGCTTGTTTTATTGTTTATGGTGCAAGTTTAGAATTATAAGTTCATTTGCAAAGCAAGTATGTGTTGTATATAATTTTTTGCATAAAACCAAATAGATTTTGAGAAAAAGCCGTCCAAAGTTAAAAGAGGCAATGACATTTAAAAAAAAAAGCTTGGAAAAAGGAATTATTGAAAAAAAAAAAGTAAAGAAGAATGTAAAGCACAAAAAAAAAAGGGTTTTGTTATTGTTGTTCTCCCTGTTTTTGTTATTTTGTGTTGAATAAGCTTGGGGAAAAGTTATTTAATAAGCATACTTGGCACTTTTGTTTTGGAATCGTTTGGATCTTGTGGAAGAAGTTCCACCCGTGCTTCACATAGGTTTACCACCAATTTCAAGAGTTCTCCACACCTTTACTCTCCTAGCTTATATGTTAATACCTTGAAAGTCCTTTTGATCCTAGAGGGTTAAGTCATTCAATGATGGCGGGAAATAGGAATCAAGCCTATAGAGCGAGTTTGCATAGTCAAGATGTCGGGTAACCTTCTCAATGTTTTTAATTTCTTATTTATTTTCCGGTTTCTTCGTGGAATCATGAGAAGCTAACTTGAAAGTGGATTTGAAACTAGTAGAGAGAACGTGGTTTGATTGGTTGAAACAAAAGGTGGAATGTGTTTCCTTTAGTTCTCTATGCTTAGCATATGTTATGTTTCAATCAACCTTGGACATCTTAGAACGTGCATACCTTTATTATTTTAGAAAGATTGACATTCATTAGTGTTTGTTCCATCATAAAAGTCCACTCTAGAACGCTTGTAACTTTTCTCTTACTTCGATTTATTTTATTTTATTTATTTATTGCCTTGCCTTGATTTTTGTCAAGAGTTATGGGTTAAACTCTTAGGACACCCTTACGAGAGCTTACTCGTCCTCTAGAGCGATCTATGGGGTTTAAAGTGCTTGATGCATGCGCTAAATGCATTCGTGATTCCTACGAAAGTGAGTTAGTGTATATTCTTTCTCTTCTAGTTTTATTTTATTTTATTGTTTTTTAAAAAAAAAAAAAAATATACATCGTTTTCCGTTGTGTTTGTTTTGTTTTGCTCGAGGATGAGCAAAAGTTAAGCTTGGGGGTGTTTAATGAGTGACATTTATGTTACCCTTAGGGGTAGTGTATTGGTCTCTTTTCTCCTGTTTTTCTTAGGTTTTCTACCTCTTTTCTCCTCTTATGGCTTCCTTTTCTTTTATGGATGAAAAGTATGCTTATTTGCGCTTGTTTTGATAATCTTTATGCATAATTTTATCATCCCCATGCTCTCGTGATCTTTGCTATCTTTTGCAGGTTCCATGACGGTCCTAAGCACAGTAGGAGGCCCCTTGGCCAAGTATGGAGGCATGGACAAAGACAAGAGGAGCAAAAGGGAAGAAGAGGAAGCAAGAAGAGGAAGTTCAAGAGGAGGTGTGGCCGAACCTCTAAGAGGTTCGGTCGAACCAAGGTGTGGTCAAACTTTTGAAAAGTTCGACCGAACCTCCAAGGCAGTTTCAACCAAGTTTTCAGCATGTTTACAGGAGGGGTCGAACCAGGAAAGTTCGACCAAACAAGGATCAGGGAGGTTCGACCGAACCTACCCTGAGTCCGACCGAACCTACCCAGAGTTCGGTCGGACCTTTTCCCGTTTCAGCTGACTTTTTGCGGAGCTTCCTAAGCAATTTTGTAAGGGGTATAAATAGTTTTTTTTTGCTCATTAAAGGAAAAAAGATTTTTTTCAGTTTAGAATAGTTTTTAGGTTAGTTTTAGGTTTTTAGAGAGAGAAACTCTCAAATTTTGGAGAGAGAAAGTGAGGAGCACAATGGTTTTCATGGATTTTTGATAATCAAAGGAAGAATTTGATGATTTGAAGATCTCCATTTTATATCAATGACCATTTCTTACTCTCTTCTCTCTTTATGCTTTATTAATTGCTTTGTTAATCATGTTTGAGTAGATTTCCTTCTACTAGGTGTTGAGTGAAGCTTTGTTATGGTTAATTGAGTTATTTGAGATAAATTTGATGATAATTGTGTGATTAAATTGATTGAATTGATGATGGCATGTTGTTTGTTTTAGATTGGATTGATCTCCCAAGATAGCAAACTTAATTGCATGTTAGTTCTAGTTTGACAAGGGATTGTGAGTTAGAATTTATATATTTGATTGCATTTTGGGTAAATTTCTTCTATGCACCTAGTCAATGTGGGATCTAGACTAGGAATTTGAGAGATTGCTCTTGATGGTAATTAATTCCCATTTTAATTCTTTCTTTGCATGATTGATTATCTAATCGATTCCCATTAACTTGTTAATTGTTCAAAGTGGATCTTTTCCCCTAGTAGACTTTATCATACCTTGTTCTTTATATGTGTTTTAGTGTAGTTGTAGTGTCCTTTATCCGTAAATCGACTTCGGCATAGCTTAGGCATTAGATTAAGAACAATCTAGCATTACCGTTCCTTGTGGTTCGACTCCGAACTTACCACTAGACTTGTTTAGGGGTTAGTTTAGGATTATAATAAATTTTATTTGGCCGTGAGGAGGTTAGTCAACGACATAATTTCCCCGCGCTCACTCTTACGTTAGCCGGTTCAACCTGACCAGAATCCAAATTCAGGGTTTGTCTGATGAAAGTAGCCTTTATAGACTTCTTCAAGGATCTGAAGGATGGGTCAACTTTCAAGTCTGACCTCTTCCAAAAGAGGGTTTTCACCCTTCAACAGGCATTGATGGAGGTGAAAAGCTTTATACAAGCAACCGACCTCTGCTCGCCCAACAACCAGTCAGACTCCAAAAGGTCAGACAAGCAAAAAGATAATTGGTCTGCTGCACCGGCTAAGAACCAAGAAAAAAGCAAAAAGAGAAAAGATGTATGGGCGGTCAATGATTCTGACCAGCCGTCCTAGAAGAAAAGGAAGGAATTCAAACCGTACTCCCCAAGGTATGAGTTTAATAAGGACTTCAACTTTATCCTCATGGAGATTAAGGATCGATTGACACTTGAGAAGCCGAATCCTATGAAAAATTCCATTCATACACGGAACAAAAATAAATTCTGCCAGTACCATGAGGAGATTGGCCATGACACCAACAACGGCTTTACCCTTCAGCAGGCGTTGGATCGTTTGGCTGACAATGGGATGTTGAAGTTCTATATCTCAAAGTCCAAAGGGACTAATGAGAAGAACACAGGACACTCGTCCAAGACTGCCCAGCGTACTATTAGCTCTGACACTTACAAAGAGTCGGTCTACACCATAGCAGGCGGGTTCTCAGGTGGTGGTCCGACTATCCGGGGCACTAAGGACCATCTGAAAAAGATAGCCAAGGCTGCTGATGAAGAGCAGGCGTCTGCTAACAGAACCTTCCCAAACGTCCTTATTACTAAGAAGGACCAGGGCAGCGTTCGCCGTCCGCATGACGACCCGGTTTTCATTGAATGTAAGGTCACCAACCAACTGGTTGGACAGATCCTTATAGACACCTGTAGCTCCTCTAACATCATCAGCTACAAGTGCTTACAAAAGCTCAAGTATAAGACCAGCAACATGCATCCGGTATCCCATCCCCTAGTTGGTTTTGGGGGGGGGATGGTGTACCTAGTCGACAAGATTGACTTACCTATCCGGCTTGGAGACAAAGGAGAAGGGTGGCACCTAATCGTCAAGTTCTTGGTAGTTGAGGCGGTGACCGCTTATAACATCATTTTGGGCCGTCCAACACTGAACAAATCCAAGGCTGTTATTATCCCTTCCCTCATGTTAATGAAGTATGAAAGGGATGATGGTTCTGTTGGATCACTAAATGGAGACCTGAAGACGGCTCGAGAATGTTATCTCTTAGCCGTCAAGCCCACTCTAGCCTCATCCGGCTAAGGGCAGGAGTCAATATACCTTGATGAAGTCAAGGATCCCAGCCCAGCCCCACCAGCAGCCGGAAAGAAGAGAAAAGTTGATCAGCTGATGGAGGTGATGAAAGAAAAGAAATAGCAATCACTGACCGGAGAGCGGTCAGAGGAGCTCCGTCCCCAACCGGCTGGTGAGCACATGGATCTCTCTCTGGATGACAGCCGTCTAGAGCATATTGTTAAGGTGGGGACGGCTACCTATGCTAAGTTGGGTGCAGACTTATACCTCTTGCTGAAAGAATTCAAAGAAATTTTTGCCTTTGGAGTGGAAGAGATGCCAGACGTCAGCCTGGATCTTGCTGTCCACAAACTCGCTGTGGATCCGAAAAAGATGCCCATTCATCAAAAGAAGAGAAATCACGGCGAGGAAAGAAGTCAGGCGGCAGCTGCAGAAGTTAAAAAGTTGTTAGACGCTGGGTTCATTCGTCCATGCAACTTTTCTAATTGGGTTGCAAACGTTGTGCTTGTAAAAAAGCGAATGGTACCTAGCGCATGTGTGTTGATTACACAGACCTCAACAAGGCATGTCCAAAGGACAGTTACTCGCTTCCAAAGATCGACAGCCTAGTCGACTCTACAACCGGTCATGCCTTAATGAGCTTTATGGACGTCTATTCTGGTTTCCACCAGATACCCCTGTGGAAAAAAGATCAAGAAAAGACAACCTTCGTCACTGATCAGGAAGAATAATATAGTCTTCATTAATCAAATTAGGAGGAATGTAGAAGCGTTCATTGATGATATGATAGTCAAATCCAAGCTATAGACGGATCATCATGCTAATCTTGAGAAACCTTCACCACACTCAGGCGGCATAAGGTTATGTTAAATCCCAAGACATATGTCTTTGGTGTTGAGTCTGGGAAGTTTCTCGGATTCTTGATTGATTAAAGGGGGATACAGGATAATCTTGAGAAGATACAGGAGGTAATTGACATGAAGTCACCCGGCACTGTCAAGGAAGTTCAGAAGTTAACCGGTTCCCTAGCGGAATTGGGAAGATTCCTCAGTCGATCAGGTGACAAATGCCTTTACTTCTTCCAAGCAATCAAGAAGAAGACTATATTTGAATGGGGGGATGATGTTGAGGCAGTCTTTCAAAAATTGAAAGAACACCTGCACTATTTGCCAAGGCTGGTTAGCCCTGTACCCAAAGAGATGTTATATATGAACTTAGCCGTCTCAGTCCATGCCCTTAGCGCTATTATCCTTTCTGAGAGAGACAACATCCAGCTCCTGCTCTATTTCATTAGCCATGTGCTCAGAAATGCTAAACTCTAGTACCCCATGGTGGAAAATGTTGGCCTTGCTCTTTACATGGCATCCAAGAAGTTGAAACCATACTTCTTGGCACATCCGCTTGTGATCTACACAAATCAACCCCTCATGCGGCCAATGTCTACCTTGGAGTCATCCGATAGGATGCTCAACTGGGCTATTGAAATGCAAAGTCTTAAAATCACTTACGAACTAAGAAAGGCAGTGAAGGGCCAGGCGTTTGCCGACTTCATTGTCGAAATGACAAGGCCGGTTCCACCGAATAATCTTGATAGGTTTGGAAAGTGTACGTGGGTGGGAGCTCTACTATGAACGGCTATGGTGTAGGGGTTATCTTTGAGTCCCCTGAGGGGGACAAACATGAGTATGCACTGCGGTTTACGTTTCAAGCCTCAAATAATAGGCAGAATATGAAGCCCTGCTAGCCGGCATCCGCATGTGTAAGGTGGCAGGGGTGACCAAAATTGACGCCTACTCTAATTCGCAATTGGTCATTAGCCTATAGCAATGTGAGTATTGATTAGGGGATTTTGCTCCCACCAATCGGAATGCGCCACGTGGGCCAATCAGGTCCTGCCAAGTGTCTCCCAGTTGGAACTGTCAGGGCTTGCCACGTGGCACGCGCTTATTCGTCCACCTTGGACCTATTATGTCATGACATGTGGCATACTCCATGCCTAATGGAGAAACCGGCCACCCAGGCCCAACTTCCGAGGAAGCCCAATCAGCCCTAGGTTAACCTAAACCTAGGATGGGCACGTTTCCCAAGGTTATAAATACCTCCCTTAATCCTCATTAAGGGGGATTACGAAAAGAGAACGAAAAAACACATTAATTACACACAGTAATAACCGGCTGATCTCGCTAACAAAGCAGATTACCTACATTAAACACTCTCACCTAGAGAGACCTAATCACTTTAATTTCCGCATTAATTACTCCTTAATCAAGTACTAACTTGACCGTTGGAGGCGGAGCTCCCAGGAGTCTCCGTTATTTTGCAGGTACAGGTTCCAGTCTCGGAATTGTAACTCTCCCGCAGGACATCAGAAAACCCCGAAACATTTGGCGTCGTCTGTGGGGAGAGTACTTCTGAGATGGCATCCAAGTCTGTACCGACTCCTGAATAAAGGTGTCCCCTAGACGACCCTCAAGTTCAGTCGGACCATGATACCGAGAGTGAATTTGAAGTTGAAGCTCACACAGCTTCAGACGGGACCCTAAGGGCCCGACGTACCCGTCATACCGAAAGGAGGGAACGGGAACATCTTCAAACTGGAAGTGAGCCAGCAGGCGCACCGCCTGTTCGGCAACAGTCGACTGATGGGTCTGCTCCCATCACAAGGAACAAACTCATGACCTTCATGAGGGACTTCAAGGGAGAGATTCAAGAGTTGATAAACAAGAAGCCGCCTGCTCCAGTCAAGGAGCAGTCGGCCAAGAAACCCTCCACTTCACTGAAGAGGAAGCCAGTTCAAGGGCGATAGGCGACTCCTCATCCTAAATCTAGGAAGCGGGAGCCACCTGCCCTTGATTTCACAAAATTCCGTTATCCTACAGGAAATAGGAAACCTGTTCGTCATATTCAGGCGGACGGGTCGAAGCAAACATTCACAGACGCTCGGCTACTGCTAGAGCAGAAGAAGAGTGACCGATTGTCAGAGTCGGCCTCTACTTCAAACTTTCAAGACAGTTTGTGAAATGCCTCGATGAGGCATACTCAGTCGTATCATGAGAGTCAGTCAGGCGGCACCTCCCGTCAGTCCGGCTTTCATAGCGACCAGGCGGTACCAAACTTACCATTTGTGCCGCAACAACAGTATTTTTTGCAGCCACCTCCGTTTGGTGGACCTGCAGCAAAAAACGTCCAACCTATGGACTGGCAGCTACGGTTGCTTAGACTTGGTGAACAGCCGTCGGCCTTCTCCAAGGAAATTACTGAAGCCGCTCAGCCGGCCAAAGTGAAAAATGTACTAGTAGGCTCCTATGACGGCACTACTAACCTAGAAGACCATCTGATGGCATTCACCAACCTGATGTACCTTCAAGGGTTGGATGATCCCACTTGGTGCAAGTGTTTCCCAGCGACTCTCAAAGGAATCGCACAGCAATGGTTCGGCAACCTGCCGACTGGTTGTGTAAATAGCTTCAGGACGCTTGCTTACTTTTTCACCTCCAACTTCGCCATGAACATCCCTGCGAAGAAAACGACCCTTGATTTGGGAACAATTCAGCAGGGCGAGAAGGAGGGGCTTCGTTCTTACATCAGGCGGTTTAACCTGATGAGAATACAGATTCAAGGGTTACCGGATGAGGTAGCCTATACTGACTTTTTCAGAGGTCTCAAAGACGGGTCTACCTTCAAATTTGATTTGGTTCGAAAGAGGGTGGCGACTCTTCAAGAGGCCTTGATTGAAGTAGAAGCCTATATACAGGCGACTGATCTTTGCACGGTAAAACAGTCGGACGGGAAAAGGTTCGACAAAAGAGAAGGACGACAGAAACAGTCGTCAAACAAAGATGAGAAGAGAAAAGAGGTCTGGGCGGCTGATTCCTCTAAACAGCCGGCCCAGAAAAAGAAAAAAGAATTCAAACCATACTCCCCAAAGTATGCGTTTAACAAGGATAACCAGTTTTCCTAAAAGAAATCAAGGGACGGATCTCAATTGAGAAGCCGGTCCCCATGAAGGGTTTCTGCAAACAACCGGAACCAAGATAAATTATGTGCTTATCATGATGATGTTGGTCATCACACCAATGACTGCATCAGTCTCATGCGGTATCTGGACCGCCTGGCTGAGCAAGGTGATCTTGCCACTTATGTTAAGAAATCTACGGGGAACACTTCCTCAAAAAAGCAGTCGGCCAAAGAGAATCAACAGGCCGACAACTCCGATACAGATGATGCAGTCGTCTACACCATTGCAGGCGGCTTCTCAGGAGGCGGCCCCACTATTAGGGGCAACAAAGACAATATCAGGCGGTTAGATGTAAATTCCGTTCACCAAGAACGGCCGTCCAAATATTCTTTTCTTGAGATTGTCATCACTGAAGAAGATCTAAGAGGGGTAAGAGGGTCGCATGATGACCCTATCGTTATTGAATGTAAAGTGGCCAACCAGAGAGTTGGCCGAATCCTCATAGATACCGGAAGCTCCTCAGATCTCATCAGTAGCAAATGTCTGTCAAAACTAAAATATCAGACTGATTGCATACATCCGGCCTCCCACCCTTTAGTAGGGTTTGGAGGAGGAGTCGTCCACCCACTGGGACGAGTGGATTTACCCATCCGCCTGGGTGAAAAAGGGGAAGGACGACACATGGTAGTCCGGTTCTTCGTAGTAGAAGAACTCTCGGCCTACAACATGATTCTGGGTCGACCAACCCTGAATAATTCCAAGGCTGTTATAATCCCATCTCTTATGTTGCTCAAGTTTGAGAGGGATAATGGAACAGTCGGCTCCCTAAGGGGAGATCAGAAGATGGCCCGAGAGTGCTATCTCTCGGATATCAAGCCCACTGTTATGGCCACTGGGTCAAGCGGTGAAAAAACAGACCTTGACAATGTCAAGGAGAGTGCGCTTGTTCAAGAAGCAGGCGGCAAGAAGAGAAAGGCATCCCAGACAGGGGCCGCAAGAAAAGAAAGAAAATAGCAATCATTGGCAGAGGAGCGGTCGTATGAGTTCCGCC